TGAAAATTCGTGCTAGTTCAGTAGGTTGTCGGAAAGGTGAGATATTATTTCAAAATCGCGTAGAAACTTTACGTTTTTAATTTAAACATTTTTGTAGAAGCGTGATTTAAATAAAACAATGGAGCGGGCTAATACGTCAAATGTCAAACGTTTTTGACAGATGATGTTCAATTACGTTTAATAGAACGTTTTACGTGAATATTATTTAATTATGATTAAATTGTAGTAAGTAGTTTTGTTTGTATTTTTATTTATACACAAATACGTTATTAAACCGGCCTCAAGTGTTACTAGAAACTCAAAATATCAACTTTTTTGAACTGCTAATATGAAAATGCACTTTTTGGCGTTGTAGCACTCTTTTTTTGCAAATCATATTTTTCTCAAACACGGTGCTCTGAAAGATCTCATTTATATAATTATATACTCATTGGTATTTATAAAACATTTTCTAGGTCTTATTATTTTTTATTTATGTTATTTAAATTCAGAACCTAAATTCGGTATCGATCAAAGGGACTTTTTGTTGAATAACATTTTCCCAGTTATAATTTCCCAGAATTTATCGAAGAATAGATAGTAATATATGAAGGTCCGGGGTTAAAAAAGTTCACCACAACAACATTTGAAAGTAGAGGGATAAAGATGTATATCCAGCTATAACCTTGATTCTTATGACTTTGCTATCTGGAGATAATCTTTGAAAATTCATAATAAAAGTATTTTTTCCGTTTTTTAGCATTAGTTAAAAATGTAATTATTTTGATATTGGTTTGGAATCGACCTGATTAGTTTTTGGTAAAGATCGGCCGGGCCGTTTTCTTGTAATATAGTCTTTTAGATCATACTAAAATATTACGGCCCTACGACAAGTCGTTTAATTTTAAAAGTTCATCAAAGTTTGAGAAAAGGAGTAGTTTTCTTTGACTTTTGTTAAAATTAAAATTAGACGATTTACTTGGTATAACGATAGAGTACTTGGTCTGCTTCAATTATAAAAATTGTTGATTTGTGAAAATTTGCTTTAGAAATACTCCAAGTTAACGTGTTCGTTCGTTTCAATTATGTGTAATGAATCCACTCGGAATACTTTTAATCACTAATAAATTAATTTATTTTTGTTGATTAAATCATTATTATACATATCGGGAAGTTCATGTAACTTGCTCAAAGCAAAATACCAATACAAACTAGTTTTAATTTCTGGCACATCTCAGCTGCTTTTTGGCAATAATAATGTAGTCATTTAATTTTTCTTATTAATAATCATTAATTTATTATACATATTCTAATATTGTCTAGGTTCATAGGTAAATTGAAATTTTTGGTTTAGTTAGATTTTAGTTTTCATTTGTTTTCAATGCAAACAATGACATACATCTTAGTACTTTATAATCATATACATCCTAGAAAATTTCCTCAACAAACTACAGAAAGATTTATCAAAATCCGCATAATCGTTTAGAAGGAGTTTACAGTGGGTACTTGTAATTTAATATGAACTTTATGTAATAGCAGCAAAGCTCAAATTGATTACACTATTTGATTTTAGTTAGAAAACGCTTATATGAGAAAAAGATAAGGCTGTTTTTAGGGTTTTTCCGGCAATTATTCGCATTTTTCTCTCCGTAAAAACCATCCTTGTACTTTAACAAACATTTTAAAAAAAGAATTGGCCAAATTGGTGCAGGCATTGTTGAGTTATGCGCTTATCAACACATTTTTCGATTCATTTTTATATATAAGATACGCCTGATCGCACAGCAAATAGATAGACATATTCATTGACAACGTTATTTCATGAGATAGTTTATTGAAGGCATGTAGATCTTAAGGTTCTTCTGATGGTAAAAGAAAACTGATTTCTGTTACGGCAGAATTGCCCCATAGTTGACCAACAAATCTAAAACGATCTTTAATTTGGTATATTTCTAGGTGGAAAAAGTACACTTCTTAACCAAGACAGTGCCTTTGGAAGTCGTGGAAAAAGTTGTGGTCAAAGAAGTAGTCCCTGAAACTGTCCAAACTGTCAAGACAGTTCCTCAAGTTCAAGAAGCAGTCGTCGTGGACGAGAAAGTTGTCGAAACGTCTGTACCAGAAGATGCTCAGGTATAAAATTAAAAACTGTCATTCAATTTTTCCTTCACCATCAATCAAATTTACTCAAATGTGTCTTTTACCCAGGTTGTCAAGACTGTCCCAGTTCCCCAAGAAGAGTCACCAGAAACCAAACCAGTAGTAGATCCAGAAGTCGACATCGTCGAAAGTCTGGTGAAAACTTTGGAAGACGTCATCGAAAAAGACATAGACACCACTTTCGAAAAAGATGTGATCGACAAAGACCAAGTCACCGAAGAAGACAAACCCAAAATCGAAAAATTCGACGAAAAATCCACAAAACCAGAAGAAGTCGTCGGTTCCGTCCAAGTAACAGAATTGTAGACGATTTCTGGTTTAGGATTAAAATTGTACATAGTGGTAAATGAAAATTGGTGCACCAAAGGAGAACCAGAATTTGGGACTTAGTTTTAAGCGAAAGATAATTTATTTATTTATTTATTTATTTATATTTTTTTAAATAAAATCTAGTATTTAATTGGAAAGAATGGATGAAAGTGTGAAGAGTGTAAAGTGATCTTTGTTATTATAACAGAAAACAATAAAATGAAAATAAATTGTTACAGAAAATTTTGATGTTGAGTTTTATTTTATAAATTTATAAGTGACATTTTAAATTTAAATTATTTAATGCATTATTATTTATTTATCTAATGTTTTCAGAACATAAAATATTTTATAGCAATTTGTTTCAAGAACACTAGTGTTAAGTATTTAATTAAAATGAAGGGCAAAATTATTTAATATTTTAGATTTTTGATATATATTATTTTTATTTGTTAAATGAAATATGTAAAAAAAATTGAACTAGTTGAGGTCAAGGTAAGTTCTAAAAATGTTTTTAAAATAAGGATTTTCATATTATGCTCTTTAATGAAGTAACTAAAAGCTTTGTGGAGAGAAAATTAGAGACTAGAAAATTTAAATTATTTTTTATAATAATTAAATATTATTGCTATTATAAAAATGTGCTATTATATTTAAAAACTGATTCTGATTTTGATTTCTTACCATAAAATAATTTATTTATAAAAGTTTCCTCCTTTCCTTCCTTCATTATATAATATTTATTTATAAATTTTTGGTTTGGATTATTTTTTTTCATGTAACTGGATTGAAATAGTAATAATAATATTAAAATCTAATTTTTAAATAATATTAAATTTAAATTTAAAGAAATTTAAGTTGTGAGAATATTTTTATTTCTATGAGAAATATTAATATTTTATTAACCGTTGTTTTAAAACATTTTTTTTTACGTTGTAACATTTAAAATTTATGTTGTTTTTTTTTAAATTACTCTGATTATCAAAAATAATGAATTTGTAGAGTTTTATTGGTCAAAAAATTAGATAACAGTTAAAATTTAAGTTACAATTTTCTTTCAAAATCTAAAATATTTTAGTGACATTTTTGACAAAAAATATCAGCTATAATTTTAAACTTTTCTTATATTTATTTCTATTATTTATTTTCTTATATTTATTTATTTTATAATTATTAAAAATAATAAATTTGTCGAGTTTTTTTTTCATGATATAATATAGTGATATGGTTAACGAAAAATAAAATATTAAAAATTTTAAGATTTTTTCCATATTTCTTTAATTTAATTTAATAACATTAAAAGTTATTAACATTAATTTTTTTGCAGGATATAAAATATTTTAGTGAAATGGTTGACGAAAAATATTTTTTTTTCATATTTCTTTAATAATTATTAAATATAATTAATTTATCTAGTTTGAGTAAACAAAATATTATATTTTACATTTAATATTTAAGCTACAATAATTTTTTTTCAGTATATAAAATATTTTAATGAAATTTTAGACGAAATTTCTAGGCTCTAATTGAAGGCAAAAAATATTATAAATTTGATATTTTAGATTTTCGACTATTATTATTCTAATATATTAAACATGATAATTTTGGATTTTCATAACTAGTTATGGTTTATTAAAAAAAATTCAAAACAAAAATGTTATTATAAGGTCGATTCTCATATTTTTCTTTTAATGAAATAAATACAACTTTCTGGTTAATATATTGAATTTAAAAATAAAGTTAAATATTGAACAATGTACTTGTGAATTTTTTAATTTATATATTGGTTGTATTAACCTCGTTCGTCTTTATTAACACGCCTTATCTCTAATTAGTCGTTTATTGTCTCTAATGAAACTCTCTACAATATTCATCTCTATATGGCACTACTTGTCTCTTTATTTTTCTTTTATTTTACTTATATTAAAAAAAAATATGAAAAATTATCTTCAAATAAAATTCTTAAGTTTTTTGGATTTTAAGTTTTTTTTCAATTATTTATAATTCCAGACAAGTTTCAATGCAACGTTTATATTATGAATTAGTATGAAGAAATTAGTTTAATTAATTACAAAGTAATTTATTTATTTTGATTATTAATGATTTAAAGAAAAAAACTCTTCTAAATTCAAAATGTATTTAACACCACACACAAAACTTTATTGGTTTTTTGCTAATTTTAATGCAAATTTTTACTAAAGAAGTTTATCATGATCATTAAAAATAATACAACTCAATTATTTGAATTATTAACATTGATATGAAAAATTACATTAAAAAAGCACAATTTATATAATTTTATTCTCAATTTTTCAGCTCAATATCAGGCACAAATAATTATATAACTAAAATAATTTTATAAAATACAACTAACAAAAAATATTTCTGGATTAATTAAAATTAGTCTGTAATAAATATCAAAAATATTTTTAAAAAAATGTAAAAATGTATACTGTTTAATTAATTTAACTTTCGTTAATTCAACTTAATAATTTGTAACCTTAATGGTTTTGAAAATTTGTATTTTTATTAATAGTTATATAAATAATTTTAATACTTTAATTTAATAATAATACTTTATATTTGTACTATCAACCGCATCTTATGTCTCCAATAATTTCGTGCAAATGCAAAGTTTGCGGTTTTTCAGGTTTTTGGAATTGGAATAAATTTCCAAATAGTTGGTCGATTATTGGAATGATCTTAGATTTGTCTGTCGTGGTCGAATCTGTTCTGGTAAATAATGGAATAAAAATAAACATAAATATAATATATTTTTAAAATCGTTAAAAATCAACTGGCTTGATACCATAATATGTACAGACAATCTATAGTACTTTCAGATAATTTACAACTTTTGCAGATAATCTTGTATGCTAAAACCCTAAAACGGCTGAATGAACAATTTTTCGAGTTGACAATATTTTCAAAAAATTTTTCAAAATTTTCAGCCAATTTTGGACGTTTTCAGACGATCTACAACGTTTTTAGACAATCACCTAGAATGTTTGCTCCAAAGATTGATACCAAGAAAAATGGTAAAAATTGTGCAAACATTCAAAAACGCAGGGAATTGACAGCAGAGGCACAGTAAATAACATGTGAGTCCATAAATCCAAAAACAAGTTAAAAACAGTATAAAATTTAGTCCCAAACTACGGACTAGCTTTTTCACACTAATAATTTTACCACACAGTTGTTAATTTAATAGATAATTCTAAGTATTTAGAAGATAATTTACAGCATTTTCAAATGATACACAATACACTAAAATAATTTACAGCATTTCAGATTTTTTTTCAAAATTTTTAGCTAATTTTAGACGTTTCCAGACGATCTACAACGTTTTCAGACAACTACCAAGAATGTCTGCTCCAAAGACTTGTACCAAGAAAAATGGTAAAAAATTGTGCAAAAATGAGAATAACTCAGGGAATTGAAAGTAGAGGTACAAGAGACAATATGTGAGTGCATAAATTCAAAAACAAGTCCAAAAAAAAGTATAAAATTTGGGCCCAAACTATGAACTAGCTTTCTTTTACCAATGATATTACCACACAGTTGATAATTTAGTAGATAATTTAAAACATTTAGTAGATAATTTAAAGCATTTCCAAATAATATACATTACATCAAGACAATTTACAGCATTTCAGATTTTTTTCAAAATTGTTAGCTAGTTTTAGACGTTTCCAAACGATCTACAACGTTTTCAGACTAACACCAAGAATGTCTGCTCTAAAGATTGATACCAAGAAAAAAGGTAAAGAATTGTGAAAAATGAGAAAAACTCTGGGAATTGAAAGTAGAGGTACAACAGACAATATGTGAGTCAATAAATCCAAAAACAAGTAAAAAAAAAAAAAATGATCCGCCACATAACTTTTCTTTATTGGTAGCAATTTAAAACATTTTGCCAGCCATTTAAAAGTTAGACAGTCATTTCGATGAAATTATTTTCGATTATTCAACAGAAGGATTGTACTTTCAAATAGAAAAGATTTAGATTGAGAAAATATTCAATAGTTTATATGTATTTTCATTTTCAAAAAAAAAAAAGTTATCTGACGGACTCTATATAAAACTGATTCCCAAATTGAGAGAGAGCTTTTTTTACTCTTGCTACCACATTGTTGAAATCACAAAGATGACAAAAAATATCCAAAAAAAATGTTAAAATATGTTGAAAACAATTTTTAAATTTTAATAATACCTTTCATAATTTCCATTTGGTCACCAGCAACTTCTTTTTTTGGTGACGGTTGCAAAACATCATAGTCAGGAAAATCTGCAAACAAAAATTATATAACTACAAATTCTTTTGAACCGATTCGGCCGCATAAAAGACCATTGTTATGGCAAGGTTATGTTATAAAAAAAATTGCATTCACATTGTCAAAAGCCATTGTCAAAAGTCAGATAGAAAACATAACGTAGAAATCGCACAAATGTCGAAAAAAAACGATGTTAGATAACAGAGTCTTTCTGACCGAGCTTCATAACATACAAGTAACGTTGCAGTTTATGTGTAAAACGCTCGAATGCAAACAAAATACATGACATTTTGACAGTATTCAGTATGATGCAGTAGCATAATGTATGGTAACATGGCCTTGCCATAACATCGGCCTGTTGTAAAACATATGTCTATTACTACCTGGTCCAGGATCAGGGCCAGGATCCTCAGTCACTGGTGGTTGGGTCACAGGAGGATCAGTAACTGGAGGCTGTGTTGGCGGTGGTTGAGTTACCGGAGGTTGGGTCACCGGAGGATCTGTTGGTGGCGGTGGTTGGGTCACCGGAGGATCTGTTGGTGGTTGTGGTTGGGTTACTGGAGGATCTGTCGGTGCTGGTGGTTGGGTTACTGGAGGATCTGTTGGTGGTGGTTGCGTGGGATCAGGAGGCATCTGGGTTGGCTGGTTTGTTACCATCTCTGTTGCAGGATCTGTTACACCACCAGTTGTCATACTACTTGGGGTTGTGGTTGTTGTGGTCGTGGTTGTGGTGGTTGTCGTACCTAGGATAAAAAGATAGTAGGTACAGTTTATAAGTGATCAAGTTTGACTACAATTTTTTAAGGGGCACAACTAGTGTAAAATTTCGGAAAAATCGATTTTTGTTTTTTTTCATATTTCGGCAGATTACACCTTTAAAAATAATATATAAAAATTTCAAATCGATATCTCAAATAGTTTTTGAGTTACAGCCATTTAAAAAGTATATATATAGTATAGAGTACAACGATCATTTAATCTTTAAGCGCGTTTTTCTCGAAACAGCATTTTCCGAATTTGCTGCAGCGATTACTCAAAAACAAATCATGCGATCATTATCATTTTTTTTTACATGTTCTATATATAGTTCTCCGTAAAATGAACTATCGATTTTTTGATCGGATCAAAAATCGAATTTTGGCAGTCGAAAAACGACCAGAAGTTTGGGTAAAATTCGACTTTTTTTTAAAAAACGCCGCCATTTTATCAATTTTTTATTTATTTTCTTTATCGTAGTTCATTTTACAGACAATATTATCTAGTTCAACAAGATTTTTTTTTTTTTTAATTTCATCCACGTAGAAGGCCGGCACTGCTGCAGTTAAGGGCCTCTTTTTTGTCGCGCCGTTGGAGATCGACGATAATTAAAAAAATATTTAATTTTTTTCTTCAAAAATTTTACTATGTATTCTTAAAACATGTATAAATATATCCCTAAAATTTTGAAATGATTGATAAAGTAGTTTTTTTAATATAAATTCCCAAAAATCACTTTTTTTTTAGGCGGTTACACTAGTTGTGCCCCTTAAGCTGGATAAAAAAAATATTAATAGACACAGTTTATAAATGATTCGTTGATAAAATTTATTTTGACGAATTTCATGAAACTTTGCATACTGATATAACTTCATGGTCTAAACTTGCTTCATAAAATATTGTAGGCTTGTGAATGGCGGTTTGATCATAAGAATTAAGACAAACTTAAGACGTACTTCGTAAATTAGTTAGTTTTTGGTAAAGTTCTAAGTAAACTTTGTAAAAAATGTTGATAAAATATATTTTGACGAATTTCATGAAACTTTGCCAACGATGAAATCATTTCTATACGGGTCGATTGTGATTAGTCGTCGTGTATGTGAATAGAAATCTGTCGTTATGCGTAACGGCATCAACGTTGTATGCGTACCGATATCAACAAGGAAATCGGCATAGATAAAAAATTATTACACCTTTTTTTATTTTCCATGAAATATTTTTGTAATTTTGGATCAGAAATTCAAAAAATCACCCAGGCTAAGCACAGTCTAAGCGCCGCTCTGGTACAAATGTTTACCCAAGCGCGTTTAGACTGATTATGCACTGGAGCACTTTTCCAATTTTGTGAAAACTGTTGAAAAATGTAAATGTGCCGCCAAGCTAAGCACAGTATTAGTGAGAATGTCGCACGGAATTATTTGCAAATGCGTTTGGACTGTGACTTTTTCAATTCAGTGTAAATTAGGCAACTATTTTTTTTTTTAAATTGAATTCGAAATGAAATGACGATTGTTAATATTCTGAAGATAAATTGATTTATGATTTACATTTGATTTGCTCAGATGTAACAAGATAGCAAAAATAATGAAAGTTACAGAGGATTTGTAATAATATATTTGAAATCGTTTAAAGTTTCTCGAATATTTCATTACGGTACGGGAAGTTTCAGCAATTTGCCTTAAGGCACGATGCCATACACCACTAGCTGCAGATTTTTTTCTCTTACCTGTTGTTGTACCAGAAGTAGTGCCTTGTGTCGTCGTCGTGGAACTAGTAGTGGTGACATTAAGATGCAAAACATACTTATCGATGAAATAATTAATTTTATCCTTCTTCTGCTGCAGACGATCTTTGTTCAACAGAATGAACTTTGAAGAATTTGGATTTTCTGTAGAATTTCCTGTAGAATCCTCAAAAATCTGATCCTCGACTTCTGTTTGGTTATTCTGAAGCTCCAAATCGAACTCTAAATATTTATTTGATAAATCAGCATTTTGGGCATCCAAAATTGCAACTTTAGTGTCGAAAATATTAGTTTTTTTTAAATTTTTATCATTTTTTAATTCTGGTACTTTCTGGTTTTGACTCTTTACCAAGTTTTCTTCAAATTGCTTTCGCAAATTTTTTATTTCCTCAATTTGTTGTTTGGATATTTGTGAAATGTGATCTTCACTTAATCTCAAATCAGTGCTAATTTTGGGGTCACTTGGTGCTCCTTGGACCAAAATTTGATAAATTGTGATCACTACTAATATCAGGCCTGTGTGGTTCATTTTTGATCTGGAAAATAAAATAAAGAACTTTAGAAAATTATATTCTCTAAGTTATAATTATATATTTGTATATATATATACATATATATAGACTTGGATTTGTAAATATTTTGTAAAGCTTCGAACAAATAATCCAAAAAGTAATAAAAAACAAAAGTTTTTCAAAAAACCATTTCTTCACAGTAAATAAATAAAGACAAATTCAATCACAGTAAATATTTATATTATATTTATATTTATTTAAATAAATAAAGAAATGGTTGAAAACAAACATTTTTGTTTTATATTCATTTTTGGATTCTTTGTTCATTTAGACACTTTATGTGTGTCATCATTTAAACAAATTCAAATGAGGAAGAAAAACAAACTCACATTTTAATGACATTATGAAAAAAAAACGATATAACAAGATTCAACAAATTGCGAATTGTTCTACAATTAATTCAAAAACAGTTTAATTATATTTCGTTTAAATACATGAAAATTAAAGAATAATGATAATAATAATAATGTATAAAGAAATAAATAATTGGAAATTGTTCCAATATTGTTGCATATTTCGGTTAATTTTTCAATTGTTTTTAGAATTATTATACGTCGATTAGAAACATTTGTTTATTATATGCTGTTAGTATTTTTTGTAAAAAAATGTATTTGAACTAAAAATTAACCAAAAAACTTGAAATGCTTGCAATATTTACTAACAAAAAAATTTATCTAGATTTGTTTTTTTTTTATTAATTAATAATTAAGTCCAAAGAAATAATCTTTTTGTTAAATTATTATATATCTTTTGTCATTTGAAATAACCTCTGAATAAAATCTTGAAGAAAATAACCTTAACAAAAAAATAAAGTTTTTAGAAGAAAATGAATTTCCCAGACGTACAATATAAGTACAATAAAATAAATATAAATAAAATTATTAACAAAAATATAAAGTATATTATTTTGAAGCACAAAACAAATCTGTGAAAATAATTATGTTCTAAAAATTTATTTTACTTGATGTTATGTACATTAAAATTTTATTTATGAGGTATTGGTGATTGTGAAATAAGTAGAATATATATAAAAAAAATAATTAAATTTCGTTGTACATAAAACTGCATAAAAACTTAAATTTAAAATTCAAATTCAAATTTTAAAACACAAAATGTCTGTAAAAATAATGTTCTAAAACTTGATGTTATATATTTTTTATTTTTGGGGTACTTGTGATGGTAAAATATTTATAATAATATGAGAAAGTGTTTTTTTGTTTCAAACAAAATTTTGTTGTATAAAACACTGCAGAAAAACTTAAATTTCAAAGGAAAACGATTTCTCGTTATTCAATATTTTATCTGAGTTGTCTGAAAACTAAATTATTTTCTTCAAATATTAAAAGATTATTTTAAAAATTATGATAGTAAATATTAAAACGAAGTAATAACTAATTTAGAAGTATTTCCCATATTTATAAAAAAGAAATTATAAAAATCAGTGTAGCAATCTGGTAATATTATATTTAATTATCAATTTTAGATTTCAGTAGTAAAATGTTAGGATTTATATATATATATATATATATATATATATAATATATATATTTCGTTACCTCAGTTTGTCCAATTTCTCATTTTAATAATCACTTTTCAACATTCAAAATCGTACTGAATAGTACTTCTAAAAATCATTAGTTTTTATTCGAAAAAACGAGTTTAGTGAAAAACTGTCTTTTATCATACCGTTATTAAAAGGCATATAGAAGAATTTATTAGAATTAATTTTAAAACGGAATACTTGTCCCGTCTTAATTTTAATATGTAAATATTTCGTAATATCAAATAAATCGTGATATGCATTTTAAAATTAAAAAAAATGGTATTTGGGATTGTATTTATATTTGGCAAATAAACTTTTTAAATTCCTCAGGGTAATATACAGTTATAATAGTAAATATTATTATTCAAAATTTACTATATTTTTATAACTATTTAAGTAATAAAAACTGCTACTATTAATTAACTATTGCTCTAATTAACGAAGACAATTTGTTATTTCGGACAAACTGTCTGTTAAAATTATCAGAAAAATACTACGATATATTTTAAAAAATACTACGTTTTTCTAAAAAAAAAATAAAAAATTCAAATTATAATTTAATCAAACTACTTTTTTATTTCCCTTATGCGATGAAGTAGTTTATTAAAAATAATCCTATGTATAAACAAGTGACAATAATATAAGAAGAGCAACAAACGATCGATTTATACACAAATCGTTTGAAAGTTTCAATTTAAATATAAATTTATATTTATATATGGTACATATCACATCGAACATCAATTATTACATAATTATATTATTCATTATAATAATTATAATAATAACATTGCTTTTTCTTATAAACTAAAATACTGAGAGAAGCTTTTTTGAGCTGGAAAGCGAGCGAAGAAATCAAATAATAATAATTATTTATTTAATTTTAAATTAATTTAGTATTGATAAATTTATTTTATTGTAAATTGCATCGTCTTATAAAAAATAATGATATGAATATTGATTTAATTTTTTTATAATAATATTTTAATTTTTTTTAATGATATTTTAATAATTTAATAATAATAATTAATAATAATATAATAAATAATTAATTAATGATAATTATTAATAATAATATGATAAATAACAAGTTATTAATAATAATAATTTATTAATGTAATAATAATTTAATAATTTTATATACAAGGCAATTAATTTTTCAGTACTTGAATTAAGTAATATTATACTTTCATAAATATGTGTGTGAAAATAAAGTAATTTTACTAACGCGAATTAAATTAGTTAAAATGTAAAACAAATGTTATAATTAATTTATTTATTTAATAAATTTATGAAAAAAAATCGCAAAGTTTTGTAGCATTAATAATTTTTCAGACAAGATTTTTCGACAAGATTTTTAATTTAAACTTTTTAATGAAGATAGAATTTATTAGTCAAAAAATGATAAAGTGATAAAAGTTTAGAACATTTTAATGTTTTACTTTAAATTAAATTGTTTAATATGTAAATCAAATATTAAAATATAATATAAATTTATGAAAAACATAATCCCAAAATTTTATATGGCAGTAATGATTTTTAACTATTTGATATATATTATATCAATACTTATTTTTTCTAAAATTTGAACAAACAAATAAAGTCAAAATGTATTAACCTTTTAGTATTTTTAAGACAAGATTTTTAATTTAAAACAAAACCTATTACTGTGATTTTTCAACGACATCAATATTATCGAAGATATAATTTATTACTAGTCAAAAAATCATTTTTATAATAGAATAAAAAGTTGGAAAATTTATATTTCATAAAAAAGGCGACGTTTTTATCAATTTTGAAGAATTGTAAAAGAAGAAAAAATAAAAGTTTGTTCCATGAGATCAAAATAAATGAAAAAATAATAGTGTCCATAGAGGTTATATATAAAATGATATACGATAACTATACTTTCTAATTAAATATTATTTAAAACTTCCGAGAAATTTTGCTTTAAAGTTCCTAGGGTTATTAAAACTATATAGAAAACCATATTTAAAGTAATTTTTATATACACTATTGATTTTTTTTGCTAAACGATGCAACTTACAGAAGATTTTATTAATTTATTATTGACCAATAATTATTAATAACTGTTCTTTAATATTTGTTAAAATGTTTTAAGTGTCATGAATTTTTGATCAAATTATAATTTATTATTTTAAAAATAATTCAGTACTGAAGAACAGTTTTGTTTGTAGATTAACTAATGATTTGTTTTTACATATATACACACAGAGTTCTGATATACAGCTAGAAAAAATAAACTTTGCAAATATTTTTTTAAATATATTTTTGCAGTTTAAAAATATTGCTAAAATTGCTAAATGTACGTATACATATCTATTAAACAAAAGCAACGCAAATAATTAATATTTTTATTTTAAATAACATCTAAACTAGAAAAGCTCTTTGGAAGAATATTTTCGACGACAAACTATTTTACAAAGTCTTGTAATAGGGAGGACTAGTTAAATATGATTTTTTTTAAATTTAAAATAAATACGAGCTATGTTCAATAAATTGTAATATAAATTTATCACAACTATAACTATTAGAAAATATTTTTTTTCAATATTCATTGTGAATAAATTGCATCAGACAATGTCTGACTAATGAAGTATAAACAAATAATTGACAAAATATAAAAAAAGACTAAAATTTAAAAAAATCTAACTTAACTTTGTTTTATAAATATTACAAAATGTACTTAACAAATTAATTTTTATTTTTTTTCTCTTATTTAAATAAATTGTAAAAAACAATTAAAATTCATTTTTGAACATATCTCGCAAATTTATTTTTTTATACTAAACGAAATGAAAATGTGATAAAAAATTACTGGATTTGATTTTTACAATATAATATAATTTAAATAATTTTGAAAGCATATTATTAGTTTAAACTAATTTAATTTAAAAATTGCTTAAAATTTGTGATTAGTTTTTGTAGCGTTTTAGCATAAAGCATTAGTTATTAGAGAGATCATATTTCATATATATATATATATATATATATATATATATATATATATATTTATATATATATATATATATATAAATTTATAAAAAATAAAATACCATTAATAAAATGCCAAAGTTAAAAATGTATCAAGAAATGTATCAAAAAATGTAACAAGATAACAAGTATAAACAAAACATTTTTATGTCAAAATTCCTGGAAAATCACAATTTTTAATTCATATTTTTTTTCTCCTACTAAATTGCATATGTCAGACGTATATGACCGACATCGCAATTAAGGTGTTTAAAAATTAACTTGGTAAAAAATGAATATTTAAACACTGAATCGTGTATCAAAATTTATTTATATGCATGTAAAATTGTTGATAAGAAATCAAATTTAATGAATAAAAAAAAATTAATGATTATTTTTAGTATTTTATAAATTTATTTAATTATTTAACATCAGTAAATAAATTTTGGAAGTGTATGTGTTTACTGAAGTGTCACTATTATATCAATTTTTCAATTTTTCTTCTGTTGAACCTATACAAGATGTAGCGCAGTCATTACAATTGATTTTGTATACAATTTTTGTATAGAAGCATTTGAATTTGAGTTTGTTATAGTAAATGTCTCGTTTTCGTACAAATGTTTCGTAAAAATGTTTTAAATATATGTATTGCGTTTCAGGAAAACATTATTTGAACAAAATATTTAAATTTGTTACGTAAAAAATAAAATAATAAGACCAATTACGTAAGAAACGCAAAGTAAATTTGAAAACAGGAGGATTTTAGTTATATATATAAAACAGGAGGATTTTAGTTATATATATATATATATATATATATATATATATATATATTATGATCTCTCTGTAAAGCTACAAAAGCTACATTAAATAGAATTAATAATAGAATAGTGCATTAAATAGAATTATTAGATTAGAATATTATTTATCCATTCAGAGTTATTTTTTGTGTCAAGTGTTTTATAAAAAATCCTTATGTAAAAATACTATAGAAAATATTCTATACACATCACTATTATTATTTATATCCTTCAACAACGATCATTAATGATATTTGTTTTTAAAAAAATTAGCCTTATTTTGTAAAATAATAGCAGGGTGGACAGGAACAAATATTTGTCAGAATAATAAAAAAATGAATTTAAATTAATTATTTATGATAAATTTATATCAATTTTTATCACTTCATCATCAAGCTGACCTAAGTCCAAAATTTAATTTATTTCCAAAATGGTTTCAAAAGTCAAATTTAAATTTTTTTCCGACAAATATTTGTTTTTGGTGATTTTTAAAAAATAATTTTGGTACAAATGTCTATGGTTGAAAAATATATTCTTATATTTATGATATGCGTGATATTTTATAGAATTCATTTTAGAATAAAATTGTTGTGGATAAAAAGCTATGGATACACAGTTTTTTATAAATAAATTTAATTGGTTAATTTAAATTTTTATTTAGTACTGAATAATTAAATTTTTAGAAAATTATACTGCCCTTTAGTATATTTATCAAAATACCTTTTGCTATTATTTTTTTAAATAAAATATGTATCGTTTTACATTCCATTAAAATCACTAAAGGCTAAAACAAGCTCTATATGATAATAATATTTATATAATATGATATATTATTATATCATAAATTTTGATACGATAAAAATTTTACTAAATAAATCATAAACGTTTATATTTTTATTTAAAAAAATGATGGATAAATTTGGTATCCGAATAGTTATATTGCTTCTGAATTTATTATTCCAAATTACTAAGGACAACCTGAGGTTTACTTGTCTGGAATTTTAAATAAAACTTCACCTAATCAAAATCCTTAAAATATTAGAGTCCTATGAAATACTACATTATTCATAAAATATCTAATTTCCAAGTTACATCAATATCCACTGCAAATATAATATATGTACCTGCAGATTTCCTTCAAATATCAACATTTGTTTGAAAAATGTAGGTAACAAATTAATGATTGTAAATACGTTATAAAATATTGGTACCGTAGCCTTAACCACTAGACCATATCTCAAAAACATTGAAAAATATTTTTCTGAATTTAATATAAAAATTATAATTATTCCATAGGCCTATAATATTCAAAAGCTTCCATTCTTTCCAAGTTGACCCTTACAAGCAACCCTGAGGAACTCCCATTTGTAAAATTATATGAATTTTATGATTACACGTTTTTCTGTCTCGCCTAATTTTCGTTGAGAGATTATTGCTAGTTTTATTATTAATATAAATTATCTAATACAGTAAAGATAATGTTGAAATCAAGATGAAATCCAAGAATTAAAATATCCTAACTATTTATAATAGAAACGGCACACCGGAAGAAACATTTGTCGGATTTCTTGAACACCTAGAATTTCTAGTTTTCTAGTCTTTAAATTTAATTAAACTAATAAATAAATATTAACTAATGATGAACTTAATATTTAGAGTGACAATATGATCACAATTAGAAGATTGGTGATGGTAAATATAATTTGTTAAGTAAAAAATATAAATACGGATGAGTAATTTTAATAGTCTAATTTTTTAAGTGTGACTAAATTTAGGAGCAAGCAAGGTTTTTCTGGTAAGTATAAATTGCAAAATGCACAAATGGATAACAAAATATAGAATCTACCAGATGCACAGAAAATGATAAAATTTTTGCCAAGTATGTGCAACTAGACTATAGTTTGCCAGATATTGTTAAAATGTGCTAGATAATACTGAAATTTCTCAGCGAAGTCTGCAACAGATAAGTCTACAATTTGCCAGCCAAGTCTAGAATAAACCAGATAAGTCTAGAATTCACCAGATAAGCCTACAATTCATAAGATAAGTCTAGAATTCACCAGATAAGTCTAGAATTCACCAGATAAGTCTAGAATAAACCAGATAAGTCTAGAATTCACCAGCTAAGTCTAGAATTCACCAGATAAGTCTAGAATTCGCCGGATAAGTCTAGAATTCACTAGATAAGTCTAGAATTCACCAGATGAGTCTAGAATTCGCCAGATAAGTCAAGAATTCATAAGATAAGTCAAGAATTCATAAGATAAGTCTAGAATTCACCAGATAAGTCTACAATTCACCAGATAAGTCTAGAATTCACCAGATAAGTCTAGAATTCACCAGATAAGTCAAGAATTCACCAGATAAGTCAAGAATTCATAAGATAAGTCTAGAATTCACCAGATAGTGCAACTTTCGAGAAAGAAAAGCATCTTTCTAGAAAGGATCCCAAATTTCCAGAAAGGAGAGCAAATTTTTAAAAATGAGTGATACTTTTCAGAAAGGAGTGCAACTATTCGGAAATAAGGGCAACTTTCCAGAGGAGAATGCAACTTTCCACAAAAGAATGCAACTTTCCAGAAAGGAGTGCAAATTTCCAGAAAAAATACAACTTTCTATAAAATAGTGCAACTTTTGGAAAGGAATGCAACTTTCCACAAAAGAGTACAAGTTTCCAGAAAGGAGTGCAACTTTCCAAAAAGGAATGCAACTTTCCAGAAGGGAGTGCAACTGTCCAAAAGAGAATGCTACTTTCCAGAAGGAAATACAACTTTCTAGAAAAGAGTGCAACTTTTCAGGAAGGTGTGCAACTTTCGAGAAACAAGTGCAACTTTTCAGAAAGGGGTGCAATTTTCCAGAAAATGATGCAACTTTCTAGAAAAGAGTGCAACTTTCCAGAAAGGGGTACGACTTTCCAGAAAAATTAGAAAAGGGGTACGACTTTCCAGAAAGGAGTGCAACTTTTCAGAAAGGGGTGCAACTTTCTAGCAACGTGTATAAATTTGCAGAAATGTATACAAGGAGAAAGGACTTTCCACAAACTAGCAACGTGTACAAGTTTGCAAAAATGTATATAAGGAGTGCAACTTTCCAGAAGGAAATGCAACTTTCCAGAAAGGAATGCAACTTTCCAGAAAGGAGCGCAACTTCCCAGAAATAAGTGCAATTTTTCAGAAAGGGGTGTGGCTTTCCAAGAAAAAAGCGCAACTTTTCAGAAGTGAGTGCAACTTTCCAGAAGGGAGTTCAACTTTCCAAAAGAGAGTGCAACTTTCAGAAGAAAGTGCAACTATCCAGAAAATAGAGCACCTTTCACAAAAAGTTCAACTTTCCACAAAAAGTATAACTTTCACAGAACAGTGCGTATTTTCAGAAAGGGAGAAAACTTTCTAGAAAAGAGTGCAACTTTATAAAGCGAGTGCAACTTTCCAGAAAGGAGTGCACATGTTTACAGAAATGTATACAATGGACAAAGTTCTATATAAAAGATCACATACAATTAATAACTGTACAAAATAGCGTATGCACAAACTTTAAAATCATCTTGCTCGCTCCTTAGTAAAATAATAAATAAAACGTTTATCCTTTATCTAAATTACATATGACTATTACAAACCGACCACTCATTCTGCCTCAACAAAAACTGCTTCACATTATACTCCATCTGCTCTAAATCAGTCATTTCTTTCTCCTCACTAATATTACCATTGCAAACGTTTTCTTGCTCCGGCACCTTGTTTCTGGTACCATCTTTATCGTCGTTGGCTTGATGCAACCTAATTCTCTGGTTATAGTCCAGGTTCCTGTACAAATCCACACTATCCAGGGACATTCTGTGGGATTTATAACTGGCTTTAGATCTATTTTTATGGGAACCACTATCACTGTCTGTGCAATTTGCATTATCCATGTTGGCATTGGCGTTGACCCATTCTGCGACTCTGTGGAGTTGTTGGCGTAAAAGTTGGGCACTTTCTCGAATTTCTGCACTTGACATGGAACTTGATTCTAGAGATTGGCTTGTGTTGTCACCTGTGCTGGAGTTTAGTTTGTCTATTTGGTTGTTGTTGAAGTTTTCTGGATGGTTGATGGATTCTTCAGCGTGATTTGTGTCGACGTCGTCTGATAAGTTGATTCCTGAGTCGCGGTTTGTGGTGTTGTAAATAGCTGGGCCACTGATGCTCCAGTTGTTTTGCCCTAAATTATCATCGTACTTGTTTGGATCGTAGTGACCAAAAGTTTTACCAGTGTCCTGGTCAGATTTATTGTAGTTGCTATCCTGGTACACCATACACCTGTCACTATAACCTTCACCACTATAATCACCCAACGTTCTCTTATCATTTTTACCAGCACTACTCTCACCACAAGGATCTTGTCTAACACCTTCTTGCTGATCACCTAATTTATCATCATCCAATTTGTTCCGGAACAACCTCACCTTATCCTCTTGCTCCTGATTTTGACCAACTGCCAATAGTTTTCGGTTGATTTCCATCAAATCTCGGAGGGTGAGTTTGGTGTTTGAGGGATTTTGATGTTTACTGGAAGATATGACTTCGTTTTCCAAATCTAGTTTTCTTCTGGTGTATAAGACTGGTGCCATGTTGTTTTCGGATTTGTTCAAAATGACGTTGGGACTTCCGTCTTGGATTCGGAGAGAGCATAATCTTGGACCGGCTTTCGGGTTTTCAGACTGGAATCATAGATGGCTTGGTAAAAGATATATATCATTGTGAGCATGCCTTGTAATTTCTTCTAACTTAAATGTAGAACTCAGGATAAACTACTAACTACACAAAACAAACTTAAGATACGGTACATAAATATTGAAATACGGTAAGGTAAGTTCCAGCAATTTGCCTTAAGGCACGAAGCCATGCACTACTAGTTTCACTGATTTTTTTTATCCAAAACCATTAAAGCAAATTTGACTATTCAAAACGATAAAGCAAATTTCATCGGCTTTTCAGCAATCAATTTGTGCCTTTATTATCTAAAATAAGTGCAACTATTAGGTGTCCCAGAACTCAACGTCAAGTTAGAGCTATTGTAAAAAATTAAATTTAGGAAATAGTTAAAATTAAGAGCTTCGGAGTGCACCCCAGAGCTTTGGTAAAGTTGTTTGGTGGAATATTAAAAAAATCACAATAAATCGCTAAAAAAACTAAATTAAAATATATAAATGAGTTATTTAATATAAAGGGTGTCCCAGAACTCAACGTCAAGTTGAAAATATCATGGAAAAATAAATTAAAAAATAAATAAAATTAATAGCTTTTAAGTGCAACCGAAAGTTTTGGTAAAGTTGTGTCTTTATAATCTAAAAGTGCAACTAAAATTTTTAAAAAAATAAATTATATTATAAAAATAAATTATTTAGTATCTAGACTGACCCAGAACTCAACGTCAAGTTAAAGCTATCATGAAAAAAAATTAGGAAATAATTAAAATTAAGAGCTTTTAAATGCAACCGAAGGATTCGATGACGTTATTGGAAGTTATTAAATTATATAAGTGAGTTATTCAATATACAGGGTGTCCAGGAACTCAACGTCAAGTTGAAACGTCATAGAAAATTAAATTTAGATAATAATTAAAATTAAGAGCTTTTAAGTGCAACCGACCGGCTTTGGTGAAGTTATGCCTTTATTATCTAAAATAAGTGCAAAATTGAAAAAGTCACTAAAAATTTCTAAAAAATTAATTTATGTTATATAAATGAGTTATTCAATACACATGGTGTCTCAGAACTCAAGAAAAAAAACTGCATTTCAAATGCAAACAAGTTTGAAAATTCATAGTCCAACAAAAAGTCATTCTCAATTCTTGAAAACTTGGTACAATTTTGTCAATATTTTGGACCTAGAAATGTTATTCACGGTTATGGTTCTAAAGTTTAAATGAACCCAAATAATGATAATTGACCACAATAAAAGAAAATTTGTCATAATTTTACCAAAGCTCTTGTTTGCACTTAAAACCTCATAATTTTCAAACAACGTGAGATATTGTTTTTTATCTCCGATTTAAACTGACGTTGAGTTCTGGGACACCCTTATACTAAAGAATAAAACAATGCAACAACTAAACAAAATTTATTACACCAACATATTGAACAGATCAAAAATTAAATAACGATAAAATAAATAACACAAATAAAAATAAAAATACATGCCAAATTATATTATATTAGGGTGGTCCTTAATATGGATATTTTAAAATTTCTTTGCTCCCAAGGGCTCAAATGCTTCCAAATTGGTAAAAGAAAATTCTCAGAAAGTTTCAAGTCTTAGTATTAACTTTTAGATAGTCTATATATATTTTTGTCAAAGTTTTATATATTTTATTATCAACATATGGTATTAAGTAATTTTTTGCACTATCTGTGATAGCATTTGTGAACTCAAATATTATGACACTTAAAAATATTTGTATCGCAAAATATTTATTTATCATGGCATCAAAATTAATTTTGCAGCAAAATAATTATTTTTAGACACTCAAATTATCAGTAATAAATGGCAATCAAAACCACAAGTGCTAAAAGTCTGCTATCACAGGTAATTTTGGATTAAAAACTTAAAAAATCACCCAGGCTAAGCACAGTCTAAGCGCCACTATGGTACAAATGTTTACCTGAGTGCGTTTAGACTGTTTATGTACTGGGGCACTATTGAAAAATGTGAAAATGCCGCCAAGCTAAGCACAGTATAGGTGAAATGTCGCACAGAATTATTTGCAAATGCGTTCAGACTGTGAGTATACGGGAGCACTTTTTCTATTTTGTGTAAATTATAGGCAACTATTTTTTTTGAATTAGAAATGAAATGACTATTGTTAATGTAATAATTGATTTATGATTTGCATTTGATTTGCTCAGTTGTAACAAGATAATGCAAAAATAATGAAAGTTACAGTATTTGTAATAATATATTTGAGAACATTTAAAATTTCTCGAATATTTCATGAAAGTTCCAGCAATTTGCCTTAAGGCACGATGCCATACACCATTTTTATTGAAAATTCGACGCTCTACAAAACAGGTTTTTTGTAATTTCTTTTGTAGAGCGTCGAATTTTGAATAAAATTCATTCATTTGTTCGCTAAGTTATATGTAAAGAACATTCTCGAAATTTTGAGAAAATATTCTCATGCTTCTTCCATACAAAACTTTGATTGAATTGCGCACTACCTAAAAGACAATATTAAAAGCTAAAACTTTCAGAGACTTATTTTTCATCAATTTGGAACCATTTGAGCTCTTGGGAGCAAAGAAATTCAAATATATCCATATTAACGACCACCCTAATGATGATATATTTACTCTACCTTAATCGACTGTATAAGATTCCTATTAAAATTCTCGAATATCTTCGACGAGCACTGGCTCGTCTTGCCAGTGGAACCTCCAAAACTTTTTTTACGATCACCACCATTACTCTTGGCACCACCATCAACATCCAGCAAATCAGCACCACCATTCCTGTCTCTCCTGTCCAGAACATCAATTTATAATCATCCTTATTCAATTTATCACAGAGTCGATGATGGCCAACCAATCCCACAGGATTATCGAACTTATCAATCTTCGTGGAGTTTACTGACATTTGATTTAAGCATTTTACTGATATCGTTGGTGGCGTTTTTGATGTTCTGGATGTCGGTTTTGGAGATGACGTGGCTGCAACATCGGACGCAGATGTTTTGTTCGGGAAATGGGGCGTAGGTTTGGGTCGATATCGAAAATTGTGATAAGGGTTCGATGAGTAAATTCAAGTCTTTTGTGGCACAACGGCAGGTTTCGCAGTGGTGCTTCGTGTCTCTGATGCCGTCTTCGAGCACTTTGGCCACCACTGCGGCCGAGACGCTGATGTCTTCGTTTGTGTAGGAATCGCCGTCGGTGTCTGGAGAAAAAAATATATAAAAAAGTTACAATATTTGGCAAACATAGCTCATATTAGGAAATGCAATACCGGTTTACCGGTATACCGAATTACCGGTATACCGAATTACCGTAAACCGCCCAATTTTTCAGCGATATTTTTACCAGTATTTATCCCAAAAATACCGGTATTTTCGGTATTTTTACAAAGTAAAAGTTTAAATTTCTCGGAACAAATTTATCTTTAAATTCCATAATTCCATAAACAGCTATATCTTCAAGTGATTCTTTAGGTAAACAAATGTCAAATACGTTTAAACTGAATATTTATTGCTTTTGGAAAGGCCTCATATCGTGTTACAATAAATAGAATTGGACTGATAGATAATGGTGTTGTTTCATCTTATGTAAAAATGTAACGGTTTTTTAAGTGATATTTGCGCCAAAATATTTTATATCATACAGATTACATCTGCGTAATCTTTATTTTTTTCTAACTTTATACATAATAATTATGATAATTACTAAATATTTTTGCTTTTTATTACAATTATAAAATATTATTTTCGAAACGTTTGATGTTTGAAAATACTATAGAAGCATCACATGTTTTAAACAAAAATACTCAACAAATATAGTAACTTATTATTTATCTTAACAAAGTATCCGATATTAAATTAGTGTAAAAAATTATTTGTTTTAAATAGTGGAAATTATGCTAATTTAACACATCGGATACAGACAATACAGTTTATTATAATAATGTAATATGATCTTTCATGAGTTTTTGGTCTTCTTACGCATAAGTTTGTTTTTGATGAAAAGTATTCAATATACTCTATAGTGATAATGAATTAATTAAATTGGATATAATTTGTTGAATTATTATTTAAAAAATAAACTTATTGTTTTATTTTATTGTTTTATTGTTTAGTTGAATATATTTGTAGTTGTATATACATTTTTTTATATTTGTACTAGTAACTTTCAATTTGTTTACGTTTGTTTAAGATAATGAAAATACCGGTCATTTACCGGTATTCCGGTTTAAAAAAAAAATTACCGAAATACTAGTATTGAAATTTTCCATCGATATTGCATTCCCTAGCTCATATAGTAGCGTCCATATTAAGGAACTTAATATGTCGACTCACACGACAGAATCTTTGGATTGAACCCTGTCTTATTGACTTAGAATTTATGAAAAAAAGAGTGCGCTTAAGGTTCACACGCGATTGAAGTAAAACTTATTTGCTACTGTACAAGATGGCATTCAAGTAAAAATCAATACATCATATAACAATTTTCAATAATATTCATCAGTAATGTGGTAACACTCGTAATGCACATTTATTAGTGTCGACCATTATACACATTTATATAATGATAAATTATAAATTATATATTTATTACAGCATCAAAAATATGTATAATATTTAAAAAACAATAATATAATTAAAGTCATACTTCAAATGTGACATGATCGGTTTGTCATTGTTAGAAATGAGCCTTTGAATTTGATTTTTCATTCTTTAGCAATAAATAGAAAATTTAGGAATAAATAAAGAATTCATAATAGTTAGGATATTTGATAATTTCAAACATATTTGCTTTTCCCCAAACAAGCTATAGAAGAGAAGTCAATTTCGTCATAAATGATATATGAAACAATAAAAAAAATAATAATAACCATAATTTTCAAATTTATATATTTACTTATTATTAGTTGATTATACTTAATTTTATTTAATCGTTTGTAGCGTTTTAATTTATCAAATTTTCAAAGATATATCCATGGTATTTTAACAAGCCTGTTCTACGTGTTAGTACGTAATTAACTGTAAAAAAAATCGATGAAACTTTATGAGTTGATAGATCTCAACTATAAAAAACTAAAGAACATACTGAAAGTTTAATTTTGAAAATTCAAAGTTTGGAAAACATTATAGTCAAAATTAATATCAAAGTAAATTAAATTATTATCAGAATACACAAAGTGAATTTTATTGTCATTATTTTTTGTATTATGAAGAAAATTTCTTGTCAGTACAAATTATTGTGGTGTAAAATCTCCTGTTCGATTAAAATTTAATAAATATCAGAACTGACAATAAGGAAGCATCCAGATGCCAAGATAATAAATTAATAAAAACTTTTAAAATTAAAATTTCAAAACTCAGATCTATCTCTCTATACAATTATGCAGGTAAATGCTATACAATATCAGGTACAGTGTAACGACAAATAAATTTGATTGCCATTTTGAGGGCTTTTGTGATGTGATGGTCAAACATTGTCAATTCATTAAAATTTTGAATAATTAGCTAGAATTTCGCAGGCATACAAGCATGTGTATGTGCACTATAATTAATATATTACAGATATTATAAATATGTTTGAAAAAAAAAATGATTGAAAATCGCAATGTTTTAGATTCAACTATAAGCGAAAACTCTATTTTCGAAGTAAGCAGTTGACTAATTTCATCTAAATATCTAAATCTCAATTTAGGTTGTTCAAGTAAATCATTACACATTTCGTGAAGTTAATGCAATTTGCCTAAGTAAGGTGACCATATATCCGGTTTGGCCGGGATAGTTCCGGATTTCCATCTTGTGTCCCGAGTTTTTTTAAAAGCAATATTTGTCTCTTTAGATCTTTTGTCCCGGATATCAAAAATATGTAAATTAAACAAATACTGTAAAATTATACAAGCAAGTGCTATTTTTTCAAATCAATTGTAAAGAAAATTAAATATATATTATACAAGGCTCAAAAGCGAGAAAAACAGATGTAAAACATAAATAAAAAAGTATTACATTGAATATATATTATACAAGGCTCAACAACGAGAAAAACAGATGTAAAACATAAATAAAAAAGTATACATATAATTGATTTTTGAGTTCTTTCTAAAACTCCGCAATTCCGATTGAAAAATTAATTCATATAAAAGTTTTTTATAAACTATATAAACTATATAAACTAACTAAATAGCATTTGT